GCCCAGCGTGCGCGAGTGACCGAACCGGTGGTCAGCCAGCAGCCGACCGCCCGGCCGCAGCGAGCCGGCGGTCCGGCATGAAAATGATCCTACCGGTTTAGACCGGTTCTTGAGTTGTTCAGTATTTATTGATCCAGTTCGAGTCCAGTACAGTATTTTAATTAAATTTTCAGTCCAGTTAGTCCAGTACACCGGTATCAGTTCAGTCCGAATTTTCTTGTCAGTCAAGTTAAGTCCCGAGAATATCCAAGTTAAATATTTAGATCGAGTCGAGCATCTTAACAGCTATTTTCAGTCAGTCTGAGCGTAGTACTTAGTATTTGTTTATTTATATAATTTTTTCAGAGTGATCAGCAGCAGCACTGACATTATCAGTACAGGTGGGGACTCAGACTGGGTATTACATTGACTATAATTGCTCTATCATGTTTTAAGGTATGTATATCAGTTATTCCACTTTGGGTGGAGGCGCAGTAGCCTTAATTGCCCATCCAGAGTTCTGGTGGAGGCGCAGTAGCCTTAATTGCCCATCAGAGTGTGCACATGGCCAGTTCAGTACAAACCTCGTGTCTGGAGTTTACAGATTACAGTTTATTTATATATACCCGCAGTCATGATATTGATATTATTATTGATGTTTACTTTAGTATGAGTTTCTGCGGAGTACAGTGTTTTTAGTATTCATGCTCCCACTATTATGATTCTGTTCAGGAGACAGGGTCGGTCCGGAGGAGTGAGTGGAGCTGGTGGTCGCCGGTCCAGTACATGTAAATATATATATTTTTGCAGACTGTCGATATGTATATATTTGCCACGTTTTACTTCCGCTGATGTTTTCAGACTTTCAAGCTAGCGTGTAAATTTTCAGACGACGATCCGAGCTTTCGGGTCTAGTTTTATACAGTATCACATGCTTGTTTTATATTGATAATCCGTTTTTCATAAATGGGTTTATAGTTAACGGATTTTTAGAAAAGAAATATTTTATGTAACATCCCGAGATATGTTTCGCAAAATAAAACGTAAACTTTAGAAAAGGATTTGCGAAAATCGCACACTGATTTTAGTACTCTGATTTTAGTAAGCTAGCGGGGTGTTACAAATTGGTATCCGAGCACGTTTTTGTGTAACTGAATACTTTTAAAAACAGAAATTTTCAGAAAAGACCCGACCACGCTACGCTCACGCCTCACCGACTATCAGGTAAGTGCTGAGTTTCAGTTTATATATATTTAAATAAATACTTAAGTCTATGCTCAGTAAGAGGGTATCAGATATTTGACCCTAGAAATCAGTAAGATGCTCGAGTATGTTTAGAACTTAGTTGATTGTCCCAGTCATTTGATATTTCGACTTTAGTATTCTCGGGTTAAATAGCGACTCGTCAAGAGATCTGTGTATTTAATTAATCAGTCAGTTAATCTTTTATGTTAATTAATCATATTAAATATTTCAATGTTCAGATGCCTCCTCGTAGAGTGCCAGATCACCAGGAACTCCCACAGGCCACAGTGGTCGCTTTGTTCCGCGACTACCATCCAGAAAAATTTTTCGGCCAAGGAGATCCTCGTGTAGTAAATGAATGGGTTCAGGGTCTTGAGATTATTTTCGAGGTCATGAACTGCCCCGATCGTTATCGTATGTTATGTGCACAGATCCAGCTGACCGGTGATGCCAGACTCTGGTGGCAAGCCTATTGGAGTATGCGTCCCGGTGAAAAAGACGGTTGTACGTGGGACCAGTTCAAGGAGCTGATCCGAGAAAAGTATTATCCCTCGTATTACCGAGCAGATACGGAGCGCCAGTTCCTGGCACTCACTCAGGGTACTCGTACTGTTGACGAGTACGAAAGAGAGTTCACCCGTCTCGGAGCCTTTGTACCTGATCTTGTGGGTACGGAGGCAAAGAGAGCCCACCATTTCACCGACGGACTTCGCCCAGCAGTTCGCCACAACATCGTAGGCCACGGCGTCCAGACCTACGCCCGCGCAGTTGCCATTGCACAGGAAGTTGATGCCAGTATCCGACGAAAAGCCACTCAGACACCAGCTCAGCCAGTTGCTCAGCCACCAGCCCAGCCCAAAGTCGCCCAACCATCAACAAACCAGAAGAAGAGGAAGCTCAGAGGGGGCTCAGACAACCGGAGGACCCGTCCTAGACAATATCCAGAATGTCCAACCTGCGGGAAACACCACCGTGGAGAATGCCTCGTGGGCCAGAATGTTTGTTTCTTTTGCCGCCAGCCAGGTCACTTCAGCAACAACTGTCCAGAACGACTACAACAACAACCGCAACAACGTCAACCGCAACAACAACCTCAACAACAGCAACTTCAACAATAGCAGCTCAGGCAGCAACCACCACGACCACAGCAACAGCAACGCGGCAGACAACAGGCTTGCGTCTTTGCAGTTACCAGAGGGAGGCCGACCAGCACCCAGGTACCATGTCCGGGATGATTATTCTTAATGATGTACCTGTCTATGCCTTATTTGACACCGGAGCAACCTATTCTTTTATATCACGTCGATGTCTCGAAGCTATTGGGGTTCGTTCCACTACCGTTGTCGATCCTCTCGAGGTGAGTTTAGCCTCGGGAAGAAAGATAGTGACTGACGCTAGAGCCACCGATCTCAGCCTTTCCATCGGCGGCCGTATTTTGATTACTGATACTTATGTTATCGAGATGAGGGATTTTGACCTCATACTCGATATGGATTGGCTAACTCGATTTCACGCAGATATTCGATGTTACGACCGGGAGATTACTCTTTATCTTCCGGGAGATGATCAGATCACTTATTACGGCTCCAGGACTCGTACTCTGCCACATATTATTTCTATGGCGAAAGCCAGAAAGATTCTTCGACGGGGTGATTGCCAGGGTTATCTTGTGAGCCTCGTTGGAGATGAGTCAAAGGCACGTTCACCTCATGACATTCCTATCGTTCGTGAGTTTGTGGACGTGTTTCCAGATCAGCTTCCTGGAGGTCCACCTTGCCGACAGGTTGAATTTTCTATTGATCTTATCCCTGGAGCCGGACCCATTTCAAAGGCACCGTACAGAATGGCGCCTAAAGAATTGCAGGAGTTGAAGACCCAAATTCAAGAGTTGCTGAATCTCGGTTTTATACGACCGAGCGTTTCTCCTTGGGGAGCACCAGTCCTTTTTGTCAAAAAGAAGGATGGATCCATGCGTATGTGTATCGACTACCGCGATCTTAACCGGTTGACGATCAAGAATAAATATCCGCTTCCCAGGATTGATGATTTATTTGATCAGTTGAGGGGTGCCTGCGTGTTTTCCAAGATTGATTTCCATTCAGGCTACCATCAACTGAAAATCAAGGAGTCAGACATACCCAAGACAACTTTTCGTACGAGATACGGTCACTTCGAGTTTGTGGTTATGCCGTTTGGCCTCAGTAATGCCCCGACAGTATTCATGGACTTGATGAACCGTGTATTTCATCCTTTTCTCGACCAGTTCATTATTGTCTTTATCGATGATATTCTTATATATTCCAAGAGCCAGGAGGAGCACGAGGAGCACCTGAGGGCCGTTCTTTCGACCCTTAGACGCGAGAAGTCATATGCAAAGTTCTCCAAGTGCGAATTTTGGCTTCAGCGAGTGGCTTTTCTTGGCCACATTATTACTTCAGCAGGTATTGAAGTTGATCCTTCCAAAATTGCTGCAGTCCAGAATTGGTCAGCACCAAAGAATCCATCCGAGGTTCGTAGTTTCCTTGGCCTTGCAGGTTATTATCGTCGATTTATCGAGCTGTTCTCGAAGATTGCACGCCCTTTGTCTTAACTGACGAGGAAGTCTGTAAAGTTCGAGTGGACAAACCGTTGTGAGTCGAGTTTTCAGGAGCTGAAAAGGAGGCTTACAACGGCACCGGTGTTGACTATTCCAGATCCTTCTCGAAGCTTCACCATCTATAGTGATGCTTCGAGGCAGGGTTTGGGATGTGTACTTATGCAAGATGGCCAGGTCGTTGCTTATGCGTCACGCCAGCTTAAAACACATGAACAGAATTATCCGACGCACGACTTGGAGTTAGCTGCAGTTGTTCATGCCCTCAAGATTTGGCGACACTATCTATACGGCGGTCAACGCGAAATCTTTACTGATCATAAGAGCTTGCAGTATATCTTTACTCAGAAGGAGCTCAACATGAGGCAACGCCGTTGGTTAGAACTCGTCAAGGATTATGATTGTACGATACAGTACCATCCGGGAAAGGCAAATGTTGTTGCTGATGCCCTAAGCCGCAAGGTGAAGGGCGACTTGACATACGTTGTTACCCAACAGAGCCAGTTGATTCAGGAGTTCGCCCGGATGCGGATTCAGGTGATTGATGCACTTCCTACTGCCAGTACAGGGAGTGTGAATTCCATGCAGGTTCAGCCGATGCTGAGGGAGAGAATCCGGCAAGAGCAGGCTTCAGATGAGTTTATTCATACGATAGATGCCAAGGTTCGTGCCGGAGGCGTCGAGGGTTTTCACCGAGGCACTGATGGGGCCTTGGAGTTTCGTGGCAGGATCGTGGTGCCTAAAGTCGAAGCATTGAGGAAGGAGATTTTATCTGAGGCTCATACTGCACCCTATGTAGCCCATCCAGGAAGTACAAAGATGTATCATGACTTGAAAGGGTCATTTTGGTGGAAGGGATTGAAGAAAGACGTTGCCGACTTTGTAAGAAGATGTTTAACCTGTCAGCAAGTCAAGGCCAAGCATAAGAGTCCCATAGGCCTTCTACGACCACTGCCGATTTCGAGGTGGAAGTGGGAGGAGGTTGCGATGGATTTTGTCACGGGGTTGCCGAGGTCGTCTGAACATCACGACCCTATCTGGGTCGTGGTCGACTGATTGACTAAGGTTGCCCACTTCTTGCCAGTATCGATGAGTATGTCTTTGGATCGATTGGCTGAGATTTATGTCCGTGGGATCGTTCGACTCCATGGAGTACCTGTTACTGTTGTGTCAGATAGAGACCCCAGATTCACCAGTAGATTCTGGAAGAGTTTACACGAGGCAATGGGTACAAAGCTAGCTTTCAGTTCAGCCTACCATCCCGAGACTGAAGGACAGAAGGAGCGGACTATACAGACGTTGGAGGATATGTTACGTGCCTTGACTGTTGACAGGGGTGCTAAATGGGAGTCCTTATTGCCGTACGTCGAGTTTGCGTACAACAACAGTTATCACTCTTCTATTCAGATGGCTCCTTATGAGGCACTATACGGTCGTAAATGTCGTTCCCCTCTTTATGGGGACGACGTCGGAGAACGTCGAGTACTCGGTCCGAAGCTGATCGAGGAGACAGCCGAGCAAGTCGAGTTGATCCGGCAGAGACTCAGAACAGCTCAGAGCAGAATGAAATCAACCGCCGATCATCATCGACGAGACATTCAGTTCGAGGTTGGCGAGCACGCTTTTCTCAGAGTTAGTCCATTTCGCGGAGTTATTCGATTCGGGAAGAGAGGGAAATTACACCCTCGGTTCATTGGCCCGTTCGAAGTACTCGAGCGAGTGAGCGATGTTGCGTATCGTCTAGCCTTACCTCCCGAGCTATCCAGTGTTCACAATGTCTTTCATGTATCTATGTTACGCAAATACGTGTGCGACCCCGATCATGTCATTCCTCATACTGATATTGAAATTCATCCAGACTTATCTTACGAGGAGCGACGGGTAGCTGTGTTGGACCGACATGTTCGACGGCTCCGGAAGCATGATGATCCCCTCGTACGTATTCAGTGGGATCGCCACGGAGCTACTTGGGAGCAGGAGGCTGACATTCGCGCTCGCTTTCCCGACTTTCAGTTTTGATATGTATATTTTCATGTATATATGTTTTGTTTTATATTTTCGAGGACGGAAATATTTTAAGGGGGTAGATTGTAATAACCCAACTTCTTGTTAATAGAAATGATGTATTATCTTTTATCGATTCCGTTCATTTTCAGCAAATAAGTTCGATGTTAAGTCAAAAAGTTTATCCGGTTAATTATTAACCGAGTCAATTCGATAATTAATTTCCAAACCGTTTATTTTATAAACGGACATTATTAATCAGGATTAATTATTGAAAGTTAAGAATGTTCGGATTAAATTGTAAAGTCAAAAAGCAAGTTAAGGTATAAATGCACAAGGTACACTATGCACGCACTTGTGCACGCACGTCGTGCGTACGGCTACGCACGCGAACGCGCACAGCGCGCACGCCGCGCGCAGCGCATACGCGTGCACTATTAGGCGCTAAGCACTCGCTTATACTCCCCTAAGCGCCATGATCAAGATAAAGTAAGCTAAGTCTTAATCTTCCAAATTGCCGTGAAGAAAGTTAAAGGGGTGAGGTTGGGTTGCAAGTTGTGGTGATGATTCACCTAGTAGCTTAACACATGGCACGACATGCACGCACGGGCGATGAATAAGCCCGTGCATGCTTGACACCTCGGCCGTGACTAAGCCAAAGAACGCCCCACATCAGCCACGTTTCGGACACTTGTAACAAAGGGAGGTGTGGTCATCTTTCACCTCCTTTGACCCACCTTCACCCACGGTTTTCACCAACAATAAATAACCGAGCGAGTTCGTCCTTTCCAAGCATTTCATGCACTAAACGTAAGCTAACTTCAGTGTACTAAAAGAGGGAAAATAGTGAGGAAAATATTTTAGAAAAATCACACTAAAATATCTAAGTATTGCCGAAGCAAAGGAGAAGCACAAGGACATTGGCGGAGCACCAAACACACACGCAAATTATTGTACAATCCTCAACCAAACTGAAGGGTACATTCTTGTTTACCCTCTTTATATGTATTTCAGTTCATTGTAAGGAGATCATGTCGGAATCTTGTTGTTCGGTTCAAGTTTCATATGAAAAGGACCTCGGAGATGCCATATAAGCTCCCTCCGAGTAACTTCAATTTTTAACAGGCAAATCCCGAACACTTTATGCATATTTAAGTAGTTTAAGTCAAATCATGTCCAGTCATAAGTGGATTGCCGGAATAAGTAGCCAGACGGCCGGCGAAATGCCGACCGTGATGCCTATCGCGCACAGCGTGCGCGCAGGCACGCCCGGCAGGCCCAGCGAGTACGCAAGCAGCGTCCGCACACCCAGTAACGCGCACGCGTGCCT